GTATTCTTTTTCAAAAATGTTCTTAGCTACTATCTACTGAATGAATTCTGAGATTTTAAAAATGAGGTAAAAATTAATGTGCTTTTGACTAGAGTTTCATAAAACCTATATATTAATTTGGGTTGAATTTACATCTTCCATGAATTGCAAAATCTCTCAATTTATCTTGATTTTCTTTTAAATCCTTTAGAAGGATTTTATAGTTTTCTTCAAATATGACTTCCATATTTCTTGAATAGAGTATTCTTTCTATTATATTTTTGAACTGGTTATTATTAATATATGGGAAGGCAATTTGAATATTCATTTTGTATCTGGTCACCTTATTGACTTCCCTCATAAATTTTGATTTCTATTTATTTCCTTGGGTTTTTTAAGTGGAGCACATATCATCTGCATAAAAGCAATTTTCTCTCTTCTTTTCTAGTAGCTCTTTTTTCCCTTTGTTTTACCTCCCCAGTTTCATGTGTTATCACATTAGCTACAAATTTCTAAACAAGGTTAGATGAGTGTGCTAAGAGCGGCCATCTTTATGTTATTCCTGATAATGTCTCTAGTATTTCCCCATTAAATATGATGTAGGCTTTTGGCTTTCAATTAATGTTCTGTATCATATTAAGGACGTGACCTTCTATTGTGGGCAGCACTGTCATTTTTGTGACAGCATCTAGGCATTAAAAATAATTTTAAAAATTGGAAGATAAGAAGCAATAAATATTATTAATATGTTACAATAAGGTTTCTTTTTAAGAGGACATGGTAGTTACGCCAGCTTTGCTAATGTTATCTGTGGAAGGAAGAACATGCTGTATACTTAGATATTTCTAGAATATCTGTAGAAAGGAAATATTTATTAATCAGCTTTTCTCTTGAAGGAATATACAGTGTCTAACTGTATGGAAGCTTAGAAAAGAGAAGTGAGGAAGGTAAACGTTAGGTTTGGAATGGCATCCATTGGCTGAGATTTAAGAGATCAAGCCAACATTTGATCACATCAGGGAGGCGCCCCTGGGGTGTGGTCTACGTAGTGCAGCGGGAACAAGCTGAAGCTCTAGGAGGCACTGAGTTTCTCTTTATTCCTCAAGTGATATAACAATGAGGGAAAATAGAATGGAAGTAGACCAAGTTGATAGAGTTTGAATGCAATGAGGAAAGGGAAAAGTGTAGAGCTGTAAAGACCCTGTGGAAAAGGGGAAGCCAAGGCTAAGCTCTGAGCCTAGTGCAAGCTCCCCTTGGAAACAAGTACCAAATAGACGGTAACCGCCCCAAAGCCAAGCACATTTCCTTCAAGTTCGAGTTAGCAGATCTGAAAGCAAAAGTGGAGAGCGGTGTTGTACCAACTTCTCGTCTTTAAAAAGAGGTCATTGTTTTTTTAATTCAGACATACATGTGCAAGGTTATCAAATTCCTTTTGAGAGTCGATTGAAATAATCATTTATTTTTCTTCTTTACTCTATATACTATGTTAATTACCTAGTATCACAGCATTTTTGGATTTGGAAGACATCCTACTTGGCCTTAGTGTTAGTATTCCCTTAGTTCTCCCAGCTGTAACTTACTATTATTTTATTTATTTAAAATCTTATTTATTTATTTTATTTAAAATCTTTTTAGAAAGCTGTGTCTACAGAATTCTTTTTCATGCCATCTGTCAGATCTTAGTATCTAAATTGTCGTAGCTCTTTCATGTACATTTGGACATTCCTTTTATGTTTGTACTAAAGCAGTTTATATTCACTGAAACTGTTGGTTGCAAGAACTCGCCCATAAAATTATGGCAGTCAAGAGTACTTTCCAAGTGTTCAGTTTGTTTTCCACTGATGCCATACAGGGTTTAATTCAAATTGAGAGGAGGTTTCTGTTTGGTTTCAGTATTCGGATTGTCATTCAGATAAGTTCCACAATCCCTCCCAGGCCCATTCATACTGGCAAAGTTCACACAGATATCATTCTGTCCTCAAGGCATTGAAGAGCCCCGTTAGCTTTGTTTATGTCATTGATTCTGATACAAGAAGATGGAGTCACTGAACATGGCACCTGTGGATTTCTTAGAGTTGTATAGACACACACACACACACACACACACACACACACACACAGAGGCAAAGGAAATGATTTGTAGCTGCAGTTTAGAGAATTCAACTAATTGCAGTACTTGTAAACTGAACAAAAGTGGTAGTTTTGTGGCTATTTGAAGTAAGAGGGACTAAGTGAGAATGAAATATAGAATATAAGACAAAAGACTGACATTTGAGAATTAATCAAGAAAAAACTTGTTGTGATTTTAAAATAGTTTGGAAAAAGTTAAGTCAAAATGGCCATACCTTACTGCTTCTCTTTTCCCATTTGATAAGTAGAATTTCTGGTCATTATTGTACTCATTAAATACTCCCCATCGTAGATGAGCCCATTCGTGGACAAACGCCCTTCCTGTGAGAAAATATTTTAAACACCTGATTACAATAAGAAGGGTAAAATTACCTTCTCACACTGGGAGAAAGCAATTCTTCTGAACTTTTATTATGCTTTGCTACATTAATTTTCTTAATGAAAGTTTTGTTTTCCTTTGAAAGAAAAATCTAATATGACAGCTGTGCATTTCTGAAAAATGAAGCTACTTATTTTGGCTCACCAAATACTAATTAGGCACCTAATAAGTGCCAGGAACTTATTCACACAAAGATGAAACAGCTGCCCTGTCTTCACATAGCCCATGGTCTAGTGGATGACATGCACAATCAGATAACTAAAAGTCCTTATTGGTACAAGTGTAATGATGGAGGTCGGTGCACGCAAATATGGGAGCCAGAGGCATTGATAGGGAACCAGGGCAGCGGTAACTTCTCCCTCATGGCTCCTATCTGATCAAACCTCAAGGCCTGCGTACTCCATCTCTGTTTTTTTGCTTTGGTCTAGTCTCATCTGTCCAGTCTCATTGCCACTTGCTCCTGAATTACTGCAGTACCCAGCCAACTGCCCTCCATGTCTCCAGTTTTCAATGGCTCTCCTATGTTGTTCAGGGTTAAGTCCCGCTCCTTAACTTGGCATACAAGATCACTGATGATTCAGAACCCTGCTGCTCTTTGCAGCCATGTTTCTTGCTGTACTCCACCTACTTCCAAAACCCAATAATCACAGTGAGTTCCCAAACTCCTTTTGCTTTCTAGAACCACACCATGCTCTTTCTCATCTCTGGTCCTTTTCATGTAGTTTTCCTCGGCTTGGAAGACTCTCTCCCTATCTCTACCTGGATAATTGCTACTCTTCTTTCAAAATCAAGCTTTAATCCACCTAGAAGCCCTCTCTGACATCCTCAGGGCAGGCCAGGTACCCCTCCTTTACAATGTCATCATATTCCAATATGGCACTTACATGTTATCATTGCTGCTTACTTGCCAGTCTCCTACACTAAATAAACACTTGTCTCCTGAGGACAAGCACCATGACGTCTTCATTGTCATGCCTGGTCTATATTGTCTAGAACTTAGTAGACACTCAGGGAGTATTTGTTATATCTGGATGAATTAATGACTAAGGTACAGCTCAGTTTTTCTGGAATGTAAATTCTTAGGAAGGCTGAATTTAGAGGGCTAGCTGAGGGGCTGCATACTGAGGAAGCTCTGGTACCTCACACTAAGGATTTAGACTTTATTCCGTAGGCGCTAGGGAACAGCTGATGGTCTCTTAACAGTGAAGGAAGGTTGTGAGGGCACAGGAGTGGAGTCACAGTACGGAAAGGAATGACATTATATATGGTGACTATGACGGCTAGAGTGGGTCTAGAGTGGGGTGGGGCATTTAGGTAAATCAGTTCAACTCATTTATTGAGCCATACCGTGGCAATTTTCTGTTCCTATTTTGGAAGTGAAACGGAGTGTTGTAGAGGAACAAAGAGGTATGTTTGACACCTCTTTTCTGATAAGGTCTGTAAGTGGCCTGGTGTGTTTGGGGATGGGGAATTGAGGCATCAGGATTCTTTTGTTTGTTTGTTTGTTTGTTTCCTCTGCTTTGCCTATTTAAAAGAAGAAAATCTGGTTGGTTGTAATTTTTTTCAGTTAGTAAAGAAACCTAACACTAATTATAATAGTTAAACTAATTAGTTAATACTAATAACTTTTTATTATACTTGGAAAGTACATATTATATGTACTCCATTGCTTGTTTCTTTTACTATCTTCTCAAAAGGTTTCTCTATATAGCTCTTATGGAAATGACAAAGAGTATTTCGTGAAGGAACGTTGGGCTTTTTCTTTAGTTACGGGTTTTTGAGAGCTGAACTGCAAGGATATTCTGTCTGCTACTCAGTGTGGTTCATGGTGGAGCAGTATCGGCATCACCTAAGAGCTTGTTGAAAATGCAGATTCTTGAGTCCCACCCACACCTACTGAACCATATGTTCATTTTAACAATCCCCTTTGCTATTTGAATGGGCCTGAAAATCTGAGAGCACTGTGAGTCTCCGCCATCTGGTGGCTACTAAGTGAATTGCAGACAGGAGGTTTAATTCGTTCAGGTTTCTCCCCACAGATCCATAGCAACCTAATAGTACTACAATAAATTATTTTACAGTTATTTTATGATACTAATTTTAGAAATTAAAAATACTATATTTCCACATGTATGCAGAATCTGAAGAAATTAAGTTTCTAACTGAGCAATGCATTATTCTGAGTCTCTGTTTTAAGTGAAAACACATGCTATAATAGTCTATTTGACTTATATGTGCTTACTCAGAAAGATAGTGCTATTTTGGCTTATTATTAATATAAATTTATTAAATTATGAGAAACACAGCAGCATTTTTTCATCTCTACCCATACCTTGTGGTCCATATTGACGCAATTTTTTTCCTGCTATGAAGTCAGGAGTGAAATAAATCCTTTCGCCCCTTTCTCCACAATTTCCAATCTGTTCTGTGTAGGGTTCATCATTACCTGGAGGGTTAGGTTCAGCAATCAGGACATCGGCCTGAAATTTAAGCAAACATCTTATCATTACGAAATTTCAGCAAATGAATTGACCTTATTAACACTGGAGTAGTTTGAAACAATTGTATTAATATTTGGTTCTAGAATAGTTTGATGCTTAAAAAAATCTAAGTCACAGAAGAAAATTAAACTTGAAAAAAAGAACTTGATATTCTCACATTTTTGTAGGTCTCAAGTTTTGGTCTCACATACTCAGGTTTTGTCTTCCATTTTTCAGGAATCAAAATGGCAACATTTTTAAAATAGAATCTTTTTTCTGTAGCTTCAAACAGATATGGGGATGCCTGAGTCACCATGTCCTAAGAAAAAAGAAAACATACATAGCAAGCACAATTATGACTGAATATGAACAAAGTTACCAATCATTCAAATTTACATCTATATTGCACATTAGAAAAAAGTAATTAGGAAAGACTAGTTACTTCTCAAGATTGGAAAGGGTGGTGTAGAAATAACTTTTATTAATAATAACAGCTAACCTCTCTTGAGGACTAACCGTAAGCTGTGTATCACAGCGTAATTGTTGACAATGCAGATTCCAGAGGGTGACACCAATCCTGGCTCCATCACTTCTTGTGGGACATCAGGCAATTTCCTTGAGCCCTTTTGAGCCTCATTACGCCATTTATAAATGGAAAACATTACAGTGGCTAGCTCATAAGATTGTTATGAGGATCAAATGAAGTCAAGAAAGCACTTGGAACCATGTTTATTTAACACACATGCTTGTGAAATGTTGGCTATTAGATTCAATCTCATTTGATCTTTTGAGGATCAATAAGCCTTCAAGAAAGAAACTGAGAATCAGAGACTGTAAGTCTCAAGGTCTCACACCAAGTAGTACTGGGAGAGGAACTCAAATAAAAATGAATATGACTTCAACACCTGCTGGCTTCTGTAATAATTTGGGGGCTAACCACATGCTATGATAGTATTTATTTTTAGTATGGTACTCAGTGTCGGCTATAAGGAAGTGACATAATTATATAATTCCTTTTCAAATTACACTTAACTTTATTTCTCTAAAATGAAAGGGCTGGAGTGTTAAATTATAAATGCCTCTGCAGATTCCCTGAGATACATTATTTCAAGATAGTCGAGAGGATATTACACGAGATTTATTATTGAGAGGGCATTGGGTCTACCAGGACTGCAAAACCACTGGCCTCGAAAGTAAGTGTAGACAGAAGAAAGAGGAGGGCTGAAGATTGAGCCCAGGGAGTCACCAGCATTTAGAGGTGGGAAGAGAAGGAGACACCGAAGGTGCCGCTGGTGCAGGGGAAGGAAACTAGGAGGCATGTGGTGAGGGTGTCTCAGGAAGGAGAGCGTGATCATTGGTGTCAGATACTGCTGAGCAGTCAGGTAAGGGGCAGACCAAGAGCTGACCAGAGGATATGGCAGCCTGGGTGGGCCATTTTAGTGGAATGGAGCTGCCAATGCTATATGAGTGATTTAAGAGAGTGGGAGGTGAGGAAGTGGACTCAGTGAATAAAGAAAACAACAGCTCAAGTTTTTCTTTAAATTAAAGGGGGTTGGAGAAATGAAGCTGTAGCTGAAGGACTTCAGAGCAAGGGACTTTTGTTCTGTGTTGTTTTTTTAAATGGGAACTATTATAGCATCTGTATATGCTAATGGAAAAAAACCAAAACCCTTATAATGCAAGAGAAAAAAAAGGGATTACTGCAGGAGGAAAGTCCTACTGGGAGCAGACTGGAGTGCCTAGACTCTAGTGCCCAGTGGAGTTGTCCTGAGCAGGAGAACCAGTTCATCATCAAGTGAGGAAGCAGTGCTTGGGGATTGACACAGGGGTGAATTTCTCTTTGCCACTTCCTAACGGGATACACTTGGGGAATTTATTTTATTTCTTTGAGCGTCAGCTTCCCTCCTTTCAAATAGTAATAATATAGGTTGTCTTGCTAATTTTTAAAAAGTTCTTGTAATGATTGCATTTCCTTTTTTCCAAAAAGAGGTCAGGTTTTTATAAACCACTGGGAGATTTAACATTTTTATCTTTTTAAAAAATAAAAACACTGAGTCAAGATCACCAGCAAGTTGAAAAGTAGGCATAAAACTTCCTATGTTAGAGTATTATATTACAATTCAACTTGTGAAATGTGAATTTTTGATGTCTCCCAGGAAGTCTAAGAAGCATGAAATGCTTTTGTCTTCCATGTTTTAATAGAAACATTTGTAAGTAATCTTTGCATTGGCATCGGTTCCCAATTTTGAGAAAGTAACCTCATATCCAAATAGACATTTAAATTTTTGAGGCTTAAAGAGGTTGAGGATGATGGCTTATAGGATCAGCTGGAAATTCTTTAACGACGGGGATGGTATATGGTTCACCTTTGGATTCCTGGTACCTGACATAATGTAGATGCTATGTAAATATTTGTTGGACGAATGAACACATGAATGAATGAATGAATGAAGACTGGCTGAATGAATGAATGAATGAAGTGGTTGTGATGAGTGGCAAACTGGCCAGAAGTGCCAAGACAGGAGGGCCCCATGCACTGAGGAGACGCCCAAGATACAGTACTCCCATTTGGTATCTTTCGAGTGTGTGTGTGTGTGTGTGTGTGTGTGTGTGTGTGTGTGTGTGTGTGTAAGAGAGAAGTACTCCCATTTGGTATCTTTCGAGTGTGTGTGTGTGTGTGTGTGTGTGTGTGTGTGTGTGTGTGTGTGTGTGNTGTGTGTGTGTGTGTGTGTGTGTGTGTGTGTGTGTGTGTGTGTGTAAGAGAGAAAGAGAGCACACTTCATTCCAACTCTTCATCATTTTAGGAAGTGTGCTCTTACTGCTACAACTAATGCTACTGCTGCAGCGCCATCTGCCGGTCTTGTAGGTGGAGAAACGTGGGTAGGGGACTGTCCTGCAGATGCAAGTATTTACAAGCTGGTTTAGAGGCTTCTTTCTATTCCTCATAAAGGCACCTGAAGGACAGTCTCCCTTCAGAAAGCAGAGAGTGAGGGATGGCCAGGAAAGGCAGAAAACCCCACGGTAAAATCCCTGAACATGCAGATCTGGAACATCAACAGAGAGGAACTCGTTTTTATTACCTACTCAGGGACTCTGAGCACTCTGTTTCCCCTAACTCTCAGCGTTCCCTTTAAGAGAAGAAAATGTGGAAACCAATTTATCTCACATCCAACTCATTTAGGACTTACACCAGGAAGCCAATTTAATAATTATAGCGAGAAGTACATTTCTCAGGAGGAAAACCCCCAAAGAGTGAGTTGAAAGCACTCTGCCAGTTCTAAAGAAACATAAATATATAAATAAATTACCATTGCCATTAGAGATAAGAAATGTATGTTCTCCTTCTGGCATATTCCTGAGCCCCACTGTCTAGCCAGAGACAGAAACGTGTTGGCCATATTTTTCTCCGGTACGTTCCTTGTCTCTTGTTCCAAGTGGCTCCTTCATTTTTGCTAATGTCATTTCTAAGTTTAGAGGCAATCAAAAACTCACCCAAGGTTCCTGATTGTTTAGAGATTTCAAACGGTGTGAATTTCCCTTTAACCAATGACAGTAATATCTGACAGTCTTCAAGTTAAATAGGTAAGCGTCCCCTCCCTCTCAACTGAAATTCTCCAGCCCCAAACTCCTTTTGGTGGTAGACATGGTTCTCTCTCCAAACTTCATCTTCCTGGCTTTGTTTCTGCTCAAAGCAAGGAACATTTGGTGGCAATCGTTGGGGCCCTTGCACTGTACTTTTGAGCTTACACCCAGGAACTTTGCCCAGAAATAAGCCTCAGTCCCCTTGGGTTGATTAAGAAGAATGAACACTTTCCATCTAGAAGGATTAAAAGGGGGAATAGTGACTGAACTGATGGCTGTGGTTACCATTTATTGAGCTCTTGCTATGTACCAAGCACTATGGATATATTTTTGAAGTTTTTTAAAAAAAGATCTTTCGAGATAATTTTAGACTTATAAAAGACATGCAAAAATTGTACATATACCCTTAACTATACTTCCCTTATATGCATGCATTGTTAAATTGAATCTTTACAAAAGCCTACGAGGAAGGTACTTATTACCCCCAATTTACAGACCAGTACCTTTCCTCATTACACAGCACTGTTTCTGGATGTGCTACAGCCAGATCCTAGGATAATAATTTATCAAGCGTTCTCCTTCTATTCTTAGCTGTTTGCTGTTGTACACGACCTCTCTAATCCCCACAACTTACAACAGGTCAGACACCTCTGCCCAGAACAGGAAACATCTTCTTTCCTAGTTTTTATTTCCCCCACAGAAGAAGTAAAAAGTGAGGTAAAGCAACCTGAGAGGATCCCTTGCTTTGGTGCTGGTAAAATGCAGGGACCCCTTCCATTGAAGGGTCAGGGTTGTTTTTAAGTCAGAGCTTTGCATCCTGGGCTCCTATATTAGGATCACAGAGAAGGGGGTAACAGAATAAAAGGAGAATCTGATACGAGCCAGTGGTAAAATCAGGAGAAGAAATTATTCTTTGTGCATTCTACAATCTCTGCCAAATGTAGCTGGCTCTGCCTTAGAGCAGAACTGAATAATTTTTAATGAAATCATCCACAGTCATTAAATGTAGACATCATTTATTAAGCACCAACAATTTATGAAACTCTTACTTATGTGCATTGCATTTATTACATCATCTCCCAGAAGCATCCTAATGGTTAACTGTTATTTCCATTTTAGAGCTAAGGAAACTGAGACTCAGATGTAAAAAATAACTTGCCAGTATCACTCCAGTTGGAGTTAGAGAACTCGTGTTCGCTCTATCACATTAGCTTAATTTACTTTAAGAAGCATGGATAATTACCATTTCACACTTACCTTTATTTGTTGAATGAGTGTTTCATCTTCTGGCACATTAGGGTCAATTGCGATGACAATGCCTTCATAGCCGTTATTTTTCAGCTGAATGAGTGAATTGCTCAGGGCCCCTTCAAGAAGGTGAAGGACCAAGATGAAAATGGAACTCTTAAATGACCCCATTGCTGTACATCTCCCTTTGAGTATTCTCTCTGAAAAATGTTGGTTTGGGAGGCATCTTTCTTTACCCCTATTTATATGAGTATATAGACACTTTTTTTTAAGTTATCGGAGGTGGTTTATCACAGGACTTTAACCCCTGACCCCAAGTTGTTTCACTACTGCATTTGTCTCCAATATGAGGGATGATATCTATATGTTAGTCTTAAATTCTGTGTACCTTTTAATATTTTATTTGAAAGGATCGTTAGCTTGCATTCGCCTGTGCCAGATGCTGGAAAAGAGGGTGGGGAGCCCACACCCGGTTCTCTGGAAAGACTCACAGGTGATAAGTAGCTTGGCCATTGTAAGATGTTTACTTCTTACAAATGTTTGCCCAGCCAGGAATACCAGCCCACCCAATGCCACCCTCCAACCCCTGCCTGCCCAGTGGAGTCCTGGCTGCTCTGTATATTCAACAAGTATTCATTAAGTGTAAACCATATATCCAATTTTCCCTCATGGCATTCATTATTTTGATTCTCATTGATCTTGACTTAATCTTAGCACTTCAGCACAGCTCCCTTAGACAATCCGCTCACACCAAAAGCATTAGCAAGCAGCATAAATATTATTGAATATTTTAAACTAGAGAGAAAGATAATTTATATATCACTGTAGAAAACAAGCTCCTTCAAATTTCCTCATTAGACCTCCATTTCTCTTTTCCATAGCTCCTATTGCTCAATAAAATTCAAGTTAACAACATTACATTATTTTATTAAAATTAAATATCTCTCAGAACATGAATTATGAACTTCTAGCTACTGCAAAGATTCTTTTAACTAGATTCTTTTCATCTGCCAAACCTCAGATGAAAACTCAAATTGGTGGACCACTTTCCTATATTCAAGTTACTTGGCACATCCCTTCATCCCGTGGTTTCAACTTGTTTGTCCCTTTTCTTTGACATTAGCCCATAAATTAATTCTTGCTGCTAGTAATTTAGCTCTTATTGCTTAAATATATAATGTTTAAACAATCGAAAGTCACATATTGAAATAGAGTGGAAGTACTCAATTATAAAGTGGTTGTCCAGCTAATCCAAATAATGTATATAAAAATAATTTATTCAATGCTTATCGAATAAATGTATACATTTGTTATACATATGACATAAAAATTTTAGATTCTAAAATATCTCAAACCCCTAACAGTATGTGTTTTTCCTGGGTTCCCTAGAAAACCGTGCCCCAGGCAAGCATATGTGCTCATGATCTGAGAGTTCACTCTCAGGGCAGTGAGGATAAGGGACAATGGAAATGAGTCAGGGAAGGCTGGGAAGCAATGAAAGATGAAGTGTTACTAAGGTGGCTACTGTGGTACAGTGAAGAGGTTCAGCAGGTCACCCTGCTGGTACACTTGCCCTGCCAACTTGGACGTCTTCTAATGGGCTATACAAAGAAACCATGACTTGGAATAGTCCACCGGAGGGAGGAAGGGAAAGGGGCTCCTTCTCATTTCCTCCAGGCGATCAACTTCCCTGAACTTCCTGGCTGTGTCATCCAGCCCCTTCAGCAGCTCTTAGAAAGGGAGACCCCCATGCCCTGTGGCATAGGCGGAGCCAAGGCTTTCAAGTGGTGCCTCGTTCACCTCTGGCAGAGCCACTCAGGCCTGCAAGGTGTGGGTAGTGACTGACTAAGGTGGAGCAAGGGACCGAGGGTCCGGTAGATTTGATGGAAATGTAAGGAGGTTCCATAAGATGAGTCCAATACAACTCACTGCTTGAACTGCTCACATCCACTCATGTCCTTTCATCATATCTGGCTCCAATACTATAATGTCGAGTTTGCATTTTTTGTGTGTGAGCACACGCTCTCTCACTTTTTTCCTGAGAGAAAGTACAGACCCACTCATTCATAGAATCTCCTTTGAAGTGGTGGACAGCTGCAATCTTGTGTAATATCTAAAACAAGAGGGTTATTGAAATAAATTGCAGTGCCTGCTGCTACGGCTGGTCTCAAGGCCATTCTAGATATTTATTGTCTCTTTCCTTCATCACCAATTTCCCTCCCTTTAGCTGGAATTTTGGCTTATCTGTGTTGTTTGTTTGCCTGTTGCTGTAACCCAACCCTTCTCTCTGAACCCTTGTTGGGTTGTGGCTGCAGCAGTTGCCTATGGCAGGGGTCACCTGCTATGGCAAACCCAGCGTAGGTGCCTCCCAGCTTTGCTTGACCCTCCCTGTTGGCTGGGTCTCTGCCGCTTACTCAATAGGGAGTCCTTGCTGCTGCCACCGTTCCCTCATCTCTTCACACCACTGACTCGTCTCTGCTTCCCAGGGCGGGGGCCTAGTTTAGCATGGCAGGCTGTGGTGGCAGCGCCACTCTCTCTGGTGCCCACGTCCAGCCTAAACAGAGTCACAGAGGCTTTGGCTCACATAAAGCATTGCATCATGGCACCCGGGTTCTGGCTTTGTCAGAGGCAGCCCAGATGGGCCAGATGATACGAACTTGAAGTGCAGGGAGTTAATACCCTGAGAGACAAATTTCACCAAAGACATACAATATTTCCAACATCCCAGAAGTCTCTTCTGTGTTACCTTCTAATCAAAGTGTCCCCCGCCCCCTCAAATGGTAATCACTATTCTGACCTGCATTGCCACATAGATTAATTTTACCTGTTTTTGTACTTCATATAAACAGAAATATATGGCATGCCCTCTCGTGTCTGACTACTTTCACATAACATTTTCCACATGAAATTGAGCCATGTTGTTTCATGTCTCAGCAATGTGTTCTTTTTCCATTGTGTTTCGTGGTAAAAATATATCACAATTTACTTACCAACTGCTATTGATGAACATTTGTGCTATTTCCTATTTGGGGGGCTATTATAAATAAAACTGCCATAGACATAAATATTGATTTCAGTTGGATATAAACCAAGGGAGAATTGCTGGGTCACAATATATATATATATATATATATATATATATATATATATATATATATATATATATATATAATATTTATAATTTTATATAAATTGGTGGGAGTGTAATCATATTATACTGTGTTTTTAATTTGCATTTTCCCTGATGACTAATGTTGTTTAACATCTTTTCATATACTTATTGGTCATTTGGATATCCTCTGTTGTGAAGTGCCTTTTCAAGTCTTTTTGCCCAGTTTTTAATCAGGTTGTCTTTTTCTTATCAATTTATAGGAGTTCTTGATATGTTCTGGGTATTGAGGCCTTTATTGGGTATATGTATTGCAACTACGTTTTCAAACTTCATGGATTGCCTTAATGGTACCTTTGGATAAACAGAGGTTCCTGATTTTAATGGAGTCCAATTTAATATTTTCTTTAATGGGTAATGTTTTGGGGGGCTCATAGTTAAAACAGCTTTCCCAAGTTCATAAAGATACAATATTCTGTCCTAGAAGCTTTATTGTTTTACCTTTCACTTTTTGGTCTGTGATCTATCTCAAACTGTGTGTGTGTGTGTGTGTGTGTGTGTGTGTGTGTGTGTGTGTGTGTAGTGTAAGATTCAACATTTTTGTGTTGTTTTGTTTTCCTCTATGGATAGCAAAAAGCCCAGCTCCTTTATTGAAAATACCACACTTTGCCCCACTGAATTATAGTTATGCTTTTGTTGTGAATGAAGTGACTGCAAATGTTCAGGTCTGTTCCTGGGATCTCTATTCTGTTCTATTGGTCCATGTAACAATCCTTACCTCAGTATCATATTGTCTTAATTATTGCTACTTTGTTAAGCCTTGATGTCTGGCAGTATAAACACTCCAGATTTGCTTTTCTTCAGGATAATTTTGTCTCTTTTAGATCCTCATTTCAATGTAAAATTTTGGGTCAGCTTGTACATTCCACCAAAAAAAAAAAATCTGCTGGGTTGGATAGGATTTCACTGAATCAGACTGGGGAGAATTGACATCTTTATAATACTGGGTCTTTGAGTTAATGGACATGGCATATCTCTTCAGTTTAAGTTTTATTTAATTGATCTCAACCATGTTCTACAGTTTTTAGAGTAGAGGTCTTGTACATCTTTCATTAGATTTATTTCTGGTTTTTCTGGTGCTTTTGTAAATGCTATTTTTCTAAAATTTTACTTTTTAATTGTTTATTGCTGGTATAATAGATTTAATATAATAGATTTTTATATATTGACCTTATGTTCAGTGAGCTTGCTAAATTCACTTATTTCTACTACTTTGTAGATTCTCTTGGATTTTATGTTTATAATCATGTCATTTGTGAGTAATAACATGCTTACTTCTTCCTTTCCAATCTTATGACTTTTATTTTGTTTCCTTTCCTTATTACACTAGTTCTTACCTACTGAAAACGTTGAATACATGTGGAGAAACTCATACCTTTTTCTTGTTTTCAATACCAGGTGGAAAAACATTCTGTATTTCACTATTAAATATTTTATTATCTAGAGATACTTTGTAGATAAATTTTATCAGGTTAAGAAAGTATTTTTCTATTCCTAGTTTGCTAAGAAGTTTCTTTTTTTAAATCATGAGTAGTGTTGAATTTTATCAAATGCTTTTTATGCATCCATTGAGATGATCATGTGTTTTTTCTTCTTTATTCTGGTATATGGTGACTTACTTTACTAAATCAAGCTTTCATTCCTAGAATAAATTCTACTTCATCATGATGCAGTATCTTTTTCAATTTACTAATATTTTGTTTAGAATTTTTGTACCTATGTTCATGAGCGAGATTGATCTTACTTTTCCTTTCTTGTAATGTCCTTGCCAGGTATTATTATTAAGACTATTTGGCCTCATAAAATGAGTTGGGAAGTGTTTCCTCTTTTTGTATTCTCTGGAACAGTTTGTTTAAAATTGATATTTTTTTCTTCCTTAAATTTCCTTCTGACTATTGTTTTAACTTCATCATATAAATTTTAATATGGCATATTTTGATTGTCATTTAGTTCCAAATATTTTCTAACTCCGATTCTGAGTTCTTTTTTTTTAAGATGTGGG